CTCTTCGGCCACCAACCTCTACCCCGAAGGACTTGCAACGTGCATTCCCGGCCTCTATGGCCCAGCTCGTCGTGAACCGCGTAGAGGAGGTCGAAACGATAAGCGAACGCAACGAAAGGTGAACGCTCCGGCAACCCACGCCGGCCCAGATAAGTCAAGGTCTCGGCCTCAGGATCGTACTCGAAAAACCTCAGGTTGTTCTTCGCTCGAGCAATCAGGCGATCAGGAATCCCGTCAGGCAAGTCTCGCTCTTCTAGCAGGTAAGGAATGATCAACGGCCAGTCCGACTCGTGGAGCTGGTCCGTCACTTCGTCCAAAAGAGCTAGATCACTGCGGCGTGACAACGCGTCTGGGACGACGTTATCGACACCTTTCTTGTATCGGACCTCAATGTCCATCTCGGCAAACTCCTCGATCCAGCGGAGAAGGCGTTTCGTCGGCAGGAGCTGGGTAGCAAGGTAGGCCAAGGATGCATGGTCAGTGTACACTACCGTTGTTTCCACAGCCCCGTCAAGGTAGACGTGCCATTTTCTCCAGGCGTGGATAATAGCTAACAACTCCCTCTCTTGTGCGGGATAGTTGATCTGAGCTTTATTCAGCTTACAGGACTCAAAAGCTACCGGGTGAAGAAGTGAATCTTCCCCGTCTTGTAGCAGGACGGCTCCCACCGCAAAGTCCGATGCGTCGGTCTCCATAACGAAACGCTTGAGTACGTCTGGCATCAGGAGAATAGGTGAGCTAATGAGAGCCTCTTTCAATTCTTGGAAGGCCAAATCATGGACTGGTAACCACTGAACTGGCTGCCGCTTTGTTACTCCACCCGCTGTAAGGTCATGCAACGGGGCCGCGATCTTGGCGAAACTTTTCACGTATCGGCGATAGAATCCGCATAGGCCCAGGAACGAACGGACGTCAAATACCGTTTTTGGTCTAGGCCAACCTCGAACGCTTTCCAGCTTGTCTTCCATCGGCCGAATCGCGTTATGACTGATAACGTGGCCGACGTATTGGATTTCGCGCAGACCGAAGGAGCACTTGGCTCCGCTGCACTTTAATTCCTCTCTATTTAGGACTTCTAGGACCGCTCGGACATGTCCGACGTGGTCCTCTTCGCTCTCCGAATAAATCAAGATGTCGTCCAAGTAGACTTGGACGAACACGTCGATGAACTCCCGCAAAATCTGCGTCATCATCCGCTGAAAGGTACTCGGGGCATTCACTAGGCCGAACGGCATTACCAACCATTCGAAGTGGCCGTACTTCGTACCGAAGGCTGTCTTGGGTACGTCTGACTCTGCGATCTTCATTTGGTGAAACCCTTGCTGCAGGTCAATCTTCGAGAAGAATCTGGCTCCTCTCAGTGCGTCAAAGCACTCCTGGATTATCGGCAGCGGGTGTCGATCTTTCTTGGTCAGTGCGTTCACTTTTCTATAATCAACACACAGCCGTACTTTCCCCGATGACGGATGTTTAACCATAACAATCGGGGAGGACCAAGCCGACGTGGATGGTCTAATGAAACCGGCTTCCTGCAGTCCGGTAAGTCTTTCTTTCAACGTACCCAACAGGGCAGGAGACAACTGACGAACGGGTTGATGGACCGCGGCCGCATCCCCCGTGTTGACTAGGTGCTCGATGGTTCTAGGTTTATTAGAGACCGACGAGATGGGTCCGAAGACCTCCTTAAACTGAGTCACTAGAGACTTCATAGATTCTTGGAGCGCGGCGTCGGGTCCGAACACCGTAGGTAAGCCTACCGGTAATTCATCTCTGGGACCTGCTACTCCTTCTGACTCCATCAGACAGATGAAGGATTCTCGCGCGCCTTCGTAAAACTCATGGCGGCGGATACTTCTTGGAAGAAAAACTTCCTCCTCATCGGACATCGCAATTAACTCGTGAGTTAGAACACTACAGGATGCCGATGAGTTGAGACTGAAATCTACGACACTTCCGTCGTAATTCTGCAACGTCCAGGTGTTGGTGTGCCAGTCCGTCGAAACGACATTGGACGCAATCCAATCCCGGCCTAGGATGACGTCGTAACTAGACAACGGCGCCAGCCTGCATTCTACGGAGAAATCAATCCCCGCTAGATTGAAACGGACAGTAGCCAGCCTATCATCAGATATCTGGTCTCCGAAAGCTCCGGTAACTCTGAAGGACTCAGCCGAACAATAAGTCGGCAAGACTCGATCCGAAACAAAACTCTTAGACACATAAGACGAACCAGCGCCGGTGTCGAGGAGGACCCTGGCCAAACGGCCCTCAACATGGTGATGAAATTCAGCTCGGACCCCTCGGGACCCCTCACTGACTAGGTTGACTGAATGCCCTTCATCAGTGCACAAACAATCACTCACGACGTCGGCGGCGAACTCTAGCGCAACTGCCGACGCGGTTGTCCCCATGCCTGGGCGATCAACACTTAACTCAGCTGACTCAATCTCACAAGGATTTAACTCCTGATGAGGCTCATGTAGGACCGAAACACTAGGATTTAGATTACTAGAAGAAACGGAAACAACAATATCTGTCGGTGGGAGAGACAATTCCTCACCGACTACTCTTTTTTTTCTTTTTTCTTTAACTTGGCCTGGTTAGCCGCTTCCCAAGCGAGTTGGGCCTCGGTCTTCGGCTCGGGACACTTCTTCGCCGAATGGCCGGTCTTCTTGCAATTGTGGCACGCGAAGCCACTCTTTTTCTTCTCCGATCCGGTCCCTTCTCCGGCTGCTCGGCGTTTACTCGACCCTCCCGCGACTGGCGCCGCTTGAGAATCTCGATGGTGGCGATCGTGGGCCACCGCTGTGACGAACACCTGATCCATGGTCATCGGGGTGCCTCGGATCTGTTCCGCCGTCATGGTGTTGGACACCTTGGCGCTGAGGCCGGGAGTGAGACGTTTAACAAAGGCGGTGCGCTCGTCGTGGCCGAA